ATATATATATATATATATATATATATATATATATATATATATATACATAGTAAAGTCTGCCAAAAGCCACTTATGGTTAATGTCTGCTGAACTTATTAAATCTTGCCTCCTGTGATATCACTGCCTTTGTATACTCAAAGCAGAATCATGTGTGTAAGCTTAAAAAAATGTTTTAGTTTTAGTATTTTTCATTATCCAAATTAGTTTACCACGTTTGAGATGTTGATTATAGACATTTATTACTAAAAGACTTGGTTGCATTTAGTTTTTTTTTTATGATGTCACAATTTAAAATACAACATTTTCTTGTTCTTAAATGAAATTGAACATTTTTTAGAGAGTGTTTGGGGTTTCATTTTAATGTTAGTATATTATCTTAAAGGTTATGAGAGTCTTTTCATGTTTTCTCTCTCTGTTGGCTTTTCATTTCTCATTGGTCTAATAAAGCGCAGCTCTCCTCCTCCCTCCGTGCTTTTTTTTACGCTTTTGATCCCTGAGGGACCTCGCGTTTTACATTCCTGGCATTCCGACCTCAGTCCCTCCTCGGTTACTTATTATCGCCGCCTGCTCTCTCCATAGTCATTTCACAGAAAGAGAGGCGCGAGGCGACATGAGGCTCGTTTAACTCGACTCAAACCCATCGGAAATATTGGAAATACTTTAGGATTGAATCCACTCCGAGCGGAGCGTTGTGTTGTCAATGAAAGCTGGTAAGAGACGCTGTTTTTAGATCCAAAGCCGCACCAGGATAAAGAGGCTACATTTTTAATGATGAGTTAATCATCTTGTCAGGATTGAAGAATTTATATGTGTTTGTTTGTTTAAAAGTTTTGATATTCGAGTTTTAAAAGTGTAAACTATAAAAGCTTGGTCCTGTGCGCTTTTGCTCCCCCAACAGAAAGGAATTTTTGGTGCATCTAGTTTTTTTTTTTGCCTGCAATGACATAAAGTCACCAGGAATGTCGCTGTTTGCCATGTTTACTTGGAGCTGCTGTTCCTTCACTTTAACATAAAGGTTTTACATTTTGTTCATGTAGATCTTTAATCATCTGTATGTTTGTCTCTTTATGTTTCAGGTTCCTAGCTGATTTACTGAAAAATAAATCCTATTTGGAAGCAAAGCAGCTCTACTGGTTCTTTTAGAGAAAACCTTTCCTTTTTTTTTTTTTTCTAACACTGTACTATGTCTTCCACTGAGGAGCCGTCTGGCACAGTCCTACACCGGCTCATCCAGGAGCAGCTCCGCTATGGGAACCCTACAGACACCCGCACTTTACTTGCCATCCAGCAGCAGGCCTTGCGTGGAGGCAGTGGAAGCAACAGTGGACCCAGCAGTGCTGGAGAAATGACCAGAAGCCCCAGATCTTCTCTGGAAAGCCTCACTCAGGAGGACCCTTTGCTTCCCCAGCTCTCAGCGAGGCAGGAGCCACAGGGCCAGGAGCACCAAGGGGACTACCATCACTCAGAAAGTGGCTTCCAGCTACACGGAGAGAAGCTGCCAACCTACGAGCAGGCCAAAGCACACTCTCAGTACCCATCCTCTCACTGGACTCACAATCAGCTCCACGAGGGGCAGCTTGTTCTGGGTGATGGATCCTTCCATGAAGAAGCTGATCTGTTGGGGCAAAAATGCAGCCACGTGCGCTCGCTCAGTGAACACCTCATGCAGATGTCTCTGGAGAGAAGAGATGTATTCGCTAAATCTGCAGCCATTAAAATAAACTCTCACAGCTATCCCGAGCTCCCTTACTACACCCCACAGTGCATTGAACGGACGGCGCAAAACGCACCCAAGCGAAGCCCACCCCCAGAATACAGCAGTCCCATCCAGGGCCAGGGTTTTATCCCTCACCAAGTCCAGGAACCAACACTGGCTCGGCCTCACAGGTAAAGAAGAGGGACTTTGTTTTACATCACTACATTTTTGTTGATGTGTTTTAGAGACTGTTGTGGCGTTACATCACATCACTGGTATTACCTCTCAGCCCGCCCAATACTTGCCTTTGTGTTTCACATGCATAAACACATACTTGCAGATATGAGTCACGCTACAGTCTGCATACTGAATCAGATATAGAAGTACTTGCAGAGGAACAAGTCCTGCCCTGTAGATGTTTGTAATGTTTGGCATACGACAGCAGCATTTTCACAGATACCTAAGTAGTCTCTGGTATTCTGACTGTGCTCCATATTTAGGATGGTACAAAAAACGCACAACCCTGTCTGTTGTCTGATTAATTATAATATGATGGTACTTAAGATGACCTTTTTTTGTTAAAATAAGGCTGCTATCAAATCTGACCTAACACAACAAGGCAGCTAGACCCACCATACTCTGCCTCTTATCACAAGATACATTTTTCTCATAGATATGTCCAGCCTGATCAGCCGGACTTACCCAGCTACAACACATTTAACAGTCTGCCACCTGCTGGCTTGGAGGAACCAAACCAGGTGGAGCTGCTGATGATGGAAAATGAGAGGCTGAGGCAAGAGGTGGAAAGTCACAGGGAGAAGACCGGCCGCATTCAGAAGGTAAGAATCTGATGGTTCCTTCAGTAATATGCAAGAAAATTTAAAAAAGGTTGCATTTTTTTAATTCTTGGGGAAAAAAATACAAAAATATGAGAATTAAATTCTTAAAAGCTCTACAGTAAAATCTTCCTCTCAACTTTCTGCCTTTGAAACCCAACTCCAGTTGACAGTTGCTCCCTTGATATCCAAGATATCTGGAGAACTGCTGGGGCCAGCACATAGCCCTCCTGTGAACAAACAGATGAGATCAGCAGCTGCTACATTTCCTTAATGCAGGGCCACAAACAGAGGTCACAACCCGCTCCTGTGTTTGCACACTTCTTTCATTGTTTAGCTGACATGCTGGAGGCCCTTGTGCGCCTGCTTTATTTTCAGAGAGGCCATTGATTTTCTGGGTAACACTGGCCTTGTCACACGGCAGCCGTTTAGTTAGGTAATAGGGTAAAGTGGTAGACTGGGGTTGAAAAAAATTAATTAGCATATTTTTCTCATCCTTTTTGTATTTAAGAGGCTCCTTTTCCCTATTTCACTCCTGATTTATCCCAACATGCCTTTAATATCCTTGTTCAGCTTGTGCAGCCTCGGTGACACTCAACACCTCTGCCAAATCTTTATAATAATCGATCTACTTTCTGTCGTGGTTATGTCACATGGCTTCTGCTGTGCCTCAGCCCTTAAGAATGATAATTGCCAGGGTTGGAAAGTTTTCCCCGTCGGGCCGCGGCCCTGAGTAAACATGCCTGAGTGACTGCTGTAATGGTGGGTGTCTCTTTGCCGTTTCCACAGCCCAGGCTCAGGCATGTACACCTTCCCTCCTACTGGCAACTTTCCCAAATCCTTGTCAGTCTTTCGTTATGCTTATTGCCTTAAATGCCCCAGTGCAAGTGCGCGCACACACACACACCTGGAATTGCGGCTATCAGCGCTCAGGAATGTAGATATAAATCAGTCTTAAAGGGAGTGGTGCAGGCTTGATTTCCTTCTCAGAACAATACCACACACGAACCCCCACAACTGCACACAGATTATTACTAACCTAATCTTAGAACATACCTTACTTACCCTAACCCTACTGTGAAATGTGTCTTGGAAACACACATTTCTGACTAAGAGCTGCATTGCAAAAGCATGAATTACCATTCCAGAGCCTCTGTGGCATGTAAGCTGAGCTAACCAAAAATGTCTTTCTTTTTCTTTTCTTCGCTCCATTTCTAGCTGGAGCAGGAGATTCAGCGCATTTCAGAGGCTTATGAGACGCTGATGCAGGGCAGCAGTAAGAGGGAAAACCTGGAACAGACGCTGAGGAGGAGGCTGGTGGCTGAGATCAGGAGGCTGCAGGATTTTAACAGAGACCTCAGAGGTACGAAACATCCCGTATCAGAGAGAGAGGCAGGACGCAGTAACAGATGCTGTTTGGGCTAACTTTAAAACATTACTGCATCACAGAAAACCTGGACAAAGCCAGAACCCACGCAGCTAAAGAAGTAGAGGTGGCCGACCACAACCAGCACATCATGGCTAAACTCCTTGAACAAAGTAAGTGTGTTACTTTATTTGGCATCTGTGGATTTTTATTTTTTTATCAGAGCTTGACTTGTGTGTTGGCCTAGTGATTAGAGCAGTGCGCTTGTGCTCTGAGAAGGTTGCAAGTACCCTGTTTGATCCCCACGGCCTGCACTCTGGGTCCCTGAGCGAGACCCTAAACCCCACACTGCTCCCCGGGCGCCGCACAGTGGCAGCCCACTGCTCCCCAAGGGGATGAGTTAAATGTAGAGAGGGAATTTCGTTGCTTTGTACTTGTGACAGTGTAATGACAAAAATGTTGAATTCTAATCTTCTATTCCAAAACTTTACATGACATTGCTTTACCTAAATTCTGTTCTCTGGAAGAACAACAAGATTAGGTAAAAACTAAAAACAAAAACTTGTAATCCACCATTTTTTTGTTGAACAAAACCAATAAAGATATTATAAAACACAAAGGCATCTGATTCTGTTAACGCTTTGGGATATCAAAATCCAAATTGGCCAAAACAAAACCCCAAATAAATGATGGTTTTCATCTTTTTACAATTAGAATAAAAGGTCTTAAGAAATTCCATACTTAAATTAAGGAATCCCTATTCACTTTACAATTATATAGCTCAGGGAGGGGTTTTAACAGGGTCTTAAATTATATTAAAAGCTTTAGTTTTAAGTCTTTAAATACCAAAACAGAGTTTTACATAATCTGCTGTTATATCTTACATGTCTACAGTTACACATTTATTACTTCTTCCTTGGATTTACTAAGTACTTTTGACTTTTAAAAGTACATAATTAGCATGGTCTGGTTTGAAGATAGGGATCTGGGTTTGAAACTAAAGCACATCAATAGTACATCTGAAGCTTACTGTCAACTATGTTTAAAGGTGTTAAAGCTATAAAGCTTTGGGTGTACAATACCTTCAGATTATAAAGTTATATAACATGTTTATAAGTCAAGTGTTTGTTTTTATATTTCACACGGTGCTACAGTTAAAGCCATCACTGTTAAAGGTAGACTAAAAGGCTTAAATCTGTCTTTTCACATTTGAGCTAACTTAGGCCTTGAATCCAAGATAATTAAATGTATTCCAAAATATTATTTACCCTCCAGTTTGCATGTGTGCTCCAAAGCACACATGCAAACTTTAGCATCATTAGTTGCAAACAATTAGTTAGCAGTGATATTTTTGGTGTGCTTACAAGTCAGCTATATGTTATCCTAGAATCCCTGATGTGAGAGGATGAAGGACTTTGAAGTGGGTTTTTTAAAAATGTTTATTCTGTCAGTCCACCATGGTAACTTCAAGACTGCTTCATTGCTCTATCAAATGAAGAACTCAACACTTGGGTGTTAAGTTCAGCAAACCAACTTTGAGATCTGCAGCACAAAAACAGTAAAGCTAATTTTCCAAACAAAATCATGCCTGTTAATAGATGGCCCTTAGCAAAGGTCTTACTACATCCAAGCTTGGTGTCTGTTTTAGAAACTCAATGCATGACTGAGCTGGATTTCAGCATATCATGGGGCCCCTTCCTGGAGGTTTTTACATGAGGATTTCTCTTGCATAACTTTGGCTGATTGGCTAAGAAGGCTTATTAAGAGGGAATTTGGTCTGTGCAGCTTTTAGCAAAAGGAAATGAAGCATTTTAATTTTCTTTAATCATAGGGCAGCAGCAGAGGTGGTAGGAATTACCCCCCACCACCCCCCAAAACCCACCTGTTGGGAATGTGATTTATGGTGAATGTTTGAGGATCTGGACTCAAGCAGTGTGCTGGTGTTTGTATGGCCTTGATGAGGAATGTTTTGTGCTATGTGGGTCAAAGGGATGGGGAAGCTCCCCCCTTTCCCCCCCCCTCTTTTTTTTTTTTTTTTTTTGCATTCCAGAACTGTTTCACTAAATGGAGAACACTGGCCACCATGTTGCAACTCTGGAAATTATTACGTGGGTTTTGAAAACCGCTTCATACAGAAATGTGGTGAACACGCTTTGTCTTTGTGGTCTGGCCTGTCGATTTCTCATTTGACTCATGTTGATTTATAACTTCTTTTTTTATAATTCGAAAGAGGAAAAATATTAGTTGTAAGGATTTGATGCCAGTGATTTTTCATAAACTAAAAGAAAATACAGGAATTATGATATTCCACTAATAATATATACATATATATATATTAGTCTATATTCCACTAATAATATATACATATATATATATTAGTCTATATTCCACTAATAATATATACATATATATATATTAGTCTATGTATGTCATGGTGTTGAAATGCGGTTTTTGTTTTTGTCAAAAAGCAATTATAAACATAATTGTGCTGCATTCAGTAATGGAAAGAAAAATTATTTTTAGTATTTCTTCTACGAATCACCAATCAGAGCTAATCGGGGTAAAGTTTAAAAATTCCGATCCCTGGCAAATTGAATGTTGCATCTCAAGGTTGGTATAACACGTTGAAGTCCTTAGAATTCCACCAAAAAGGTTTTCATGTTACACTTGCTCCTGAAGCGGTCCCACATTTATTAAGACTTACCTTTCGATTCTGTTTTATCTTTCAGATGAGGAGCAGAATGCTGAGCGGGAGCGTACGGATCGGGAGATACAGCGCTTGCGAGTGACAGTGGAAGAGCAGAGCATTAGGACCAAGCGCCTTGAGGAGGCTCTTGAGGCGGCTCGGGGACGAGGTCGCCAGCTGGAGGAGGAGCTGAGGAGAAAGAGAGCGTATGTGGAGAAGGTAGAGAGGCTCCAGAGCGCTCTGGCTCAGCTGCAGTCAACGTGCGAGAAAAGGGAGAGTCTAGAGATGAGGCTCAGGACAAGGTTGGAGCAGGAGCTGAGGACTCTGAGGGCGCAGCAGGTAGACCTCTACACTAAGGAAAGCTGTGACAGAAAACATTATGTTTACATCAGTAAATTTCAACAGTATTCCATCTGGTTATTGCAGAGACAGACTCAGCCCCCTGGGTTGACCGTAAGCTCGCTCCAAGAGCGCTTACGTGAGCGCGAGGAGCGCATCCTGGCCCTGGAAGCTGACATGGTGCGTTGGGAGCAGAAGTACCTTGAGGAGAGCACAATGAGACAATTCGCCATGGAGGTGGCGGCCACTGCTGCTGCTCAGAGGTACTTCACTTAACCTTTAGCTAATATTTAGCTGGACAGATCTTCAGTTTAGAGTTGAATTTAAACCAGTAATATTTTGTATATTTATTTAACAATTTTTTATTTGTTTGTTTCAGAGACACAACCATCATTAACCATTCACCCTGCAACTCCTCTAACAACAGCTTCAATGAAGACCTGCCACTTCCTGACCACAGGAACCAGGAAATGGAAAACAGGTAATGTATTTTAAGAAAAGGAGGATGGAAAGGATTTTTGTGTTTGTTTATCCTTTTTTCCCCTTACCATTATTGTTATATTCCTTTACTTCAGGATTCGAGCCCTTTATGCTCAGATATTGGAAAAAGATGCTGTGATAAAGATCCTCACCCAGCGGCTGCATCAGGATCAGAGTCAGAAGGATGAGCAGAGCCCTCGAGCGAACCCCATGAACACGGCGGGAACTCTACTACGACCAGCTTCCTCCACTCCCTCCATCAGCACGGCCTGCAGCAAGAGTAAAGGTCAGAGGCGTTAAGAGTAATTGCAAATCTCAGAGAAGTACAAAAAATGTTTGACAGAAAGATAATGACATTTTCTGTGATGGTCTCCTCAGGTAAAAATCTGTCAAACGATGACATTCGCCCGACCCAACCAGTCCCTGCACAGTCGGAACCTTCAACGCTTGAAAAGCAGACAGAGGAAACCAGCAAAACTAAGCTAAATGACGGTGAGGGACCGGATCAGAATCGCAGTTTAATATTTAAACAGTCCACATTAGAAAGCTAAGAACTTAAAATGCACACATCCAGTAGTTTTGGTCATGGATTCTCTCATTGATTAACTATGGGGAGGATTAACCAGCCGGTCACGTTGCATCAGTGCAGGTCATGCTTCATAATTAGGGGTTTGTGGAATGTGCAAGGTTGAAAAGTAATGTGAATCCGTTGACTTGAGCACATTCAACAGACTGCTTTCTGTGACTGAGGACAATTTCCATTAACCTTTTCAGTCAATGGAAAACTTTTGTATTTGTTTCCCAGTGTTCTGACCTTCATACATTTATAAAATCTGTTTCTTTCTTCTTTCTCTCAACCTCCAGACAAGGCAGGGCCTAAGAAGATGCTGTCAGATCCCTTCAGTGGCTTGGACGACCTGGAGTCGGAGGCAGTGGAAATCTTCATTTAAGCAACCAAAATTTGGATGTTAAATGAAAGAAAAAAGACGTTTTAGTATCTGTGAAAACTGCAAGAAAAGAAACGACGAAAAATTGTGAATGTGTGAAAGCTGAGAAGAAAGGGGCGGAATTTGAGGAAAGGGACTGTTTTCTCATGTCTGTGGCAGAGCTGGGCTCTGAGCCTCTTTCTTACACTGAACCGGACACCTGCAGGCAGTCTGCCCGGCACAGGGAGAATAGAACAATCCTCCCAGGTACTTGGACAGTATTGTGGATTGTAATATGGCAATATGTGTCATACTATTTATATTAATATTTCTTTCTCTAAATATAAAAATGCTGCTTATCCCCTTGACTTTTATTAATATAATTGTATTATATATTTTATTTTTCTCCCCTCTAAGTTAAGGAGCTATATTCTTATCTGGTTTTTCACATTCCCTAAATATTATATATATATATATTTTTTTTTGTTAAATCTGCAGAAAGGGGTTATAAATCTGTTTATTTCCTCTCTCCTGCCTCTTTTGTGGATTTAATATTGTGTATCCCACCACCACACTTTTTGGAGGATTGCCCCGATCTCATTAATTTAAACTGATAACAAGATATAAAGCCCTACTGCTCATGTTTCTCTAGCCGGAGCAGCTGGTTCTGCAAAGGATTTGAGATATGTGAGTAATGAGGTGCGTAATATATAAGGTATTTTTATTAATAATTATTTAAACTTACTCAGAAAAAGTAGTTTTAGGGGACGTTGTTGCATTTCTTTTTGGGTTTTTTTTTCAAACACCCCTTTCCTCTCAAAGTATGTTTGCATGTGTGCTAGCAGTGTGTGCGTTCCCCGGTGTGGTGATTCTGCCGGTTTGGTTACCACTGAGGGGGGCCGAAAAAATTATTATTTTGTTTACTGTAAGCTGCGAACTAACAGACAAGTTTAATAAATTTATTTTATATTTTATACAAATGTTTGTATTGTTATTTCAGACACAGCAGTGGTTTGAGAAGGATACCAAAGAGATTTTTTTGTAAGTTATGAGCCGATAATCACAGCCTTGTCGAGCTGTACACAACCAATCACAATTGACCTCAAAAACAGGCTTTTTTTGGTGAAATCTACAGTTGAATTTATGCAACATCTCGTAAAGCAATGAATAAAGCGTTCCAATAAACATGACCTGACTTCTTGTGTTTCTCAGGCGGTAAGCACCAGTTGTCTCTGCTACTACATGTTAATAAATCATCAGTTCTTCTAAAAGTTTTATATCTACCACTCCTGTATCATTGTCAACCTATCCCCTCACCCCTGCCCTTTTGCTCCACCGCTGCAAAAAGCTCTCTTCATTAATGAGTACCAGCACTGCATTCTTTTGGGTTTAGCCTTATCGGGTGGCCTGTTCTCTTGTTCTCTTCTTGCCATGAAGAGCAGGCTTGACATAGATCAAATTCTCACAGGGATACATAACCCTATAGAGACAAAAACAGGTTTTTCCTAGATTAGCCACTAATACTGTTTGAAATTTCTGTTGTGACTTGGCTAACACGTTGCATTCCTAAAAGCTTTTATTGCCTGCAACTATTGCTGGAACAATACTCAGGGTGTAATGAAGGGAGGATCGAGAATCATGTTATTGGCAATAGAGTCCCTCGGGCTTCAAAAAAGGAACACAACACCGGGTATGATAGTGACATGGAGAACATTATACATTATAGTGTCAGCATGTTAAAAGCGTTCCTGCAGTGTTTAAATAAAGCAGTTGCTCATTTTTGATGATGCATTGTCTCATAAAATGTAAACAGAGGATAAAAACATGGTTTCAAAATGTATGTTCATTTCTATGCATTCATTTCTGCATCAGTGTAGAATGGAGGACATCAGCCTGCACTCAGGGAGGTGCAATGGCAGCCGTGGTTGCTTTGGTAGTGGCCTCAGGTCAATGAATCTGCGATGAGGGCAGGTGTCAAATTCTGCAGGAAAATAAAAATAGGATATGCTTAAAAGTTTTTAGCAGTCAAAAGGACTGTAGCATTTCCTGGTAGATAGCTGTGTTCGCTGTGGCGAAATGCAGTGAGCTTACAGCAGCAGATGGTATTGCACCTCAAATCATCGATGACTCTGAAAACTTCCCACTGGACTTCAAGCAATATGGATTCTGTGCCTCTTGTCTCTTCCTCCAGAGTTAAATGCAACTTTCACCTATGAGAAATCTTTGGACCACCACACAACAGTTTTCTCTGGTTCAGAAGTGGCTTGACAATTTTTTCACCCATGTTTACTGTTTGTGGTGCCATGGATTTGCTGACTCCAGCCTCTCTCCTGAAGCTCCCCCAATAAATGTTGCTTGTCGATCCTCTCAACACTGTTTCTGCAGGTTGTATACAGCAGTCTGGGAATTCTTAGCAATGACCTTCTTTGGTGGGTCTCAGTGTCTGTCCTCTAAAATTCTACCGTCAGCCATCTTTCCCATATAGGTGACCCCAACAGAGACACTATTTAAAGGCTAGGCAAACCTGGGAAGGCATTTTAAGTTAATCGGCTGTTTAGGGTATGGCAATAATTGAACTGTATTGATCTCACATTGGAGAAATTTACCTCTGCATTTAACCCATCCCCTTGGGGAGCAGTGAGCTGCCATTATGGGGTGCCGAGGGGTTAAGGGTCTTGCTCAGACACCCAGAGTGGCAGTCTGTGGGAGTGGGCGTCAAACTTCCAACCTTAGGATTTAAAGCTCTATGCCCTAACCACTAGGCCGCCACTCCCCCATTAACATGAGTTTCAAATATTGAACTTCTCTGAGATGTTACATTTTGGGTATTCATTATCTGTAAGCCATATTCATGAAAAAAACAGAAAAACACAGACTTAAATAAAGCTTTGTTTTTGTTTAATGAGTGACAGAAAAGGAGCTCATTTTTTGTAATAATCAAATGTTATGAGATGCATCTGTGTGTTTACCAAGGTAAAAACTTAATATGCTGTAAGAATAGAGAAAAGTTATTCAAAAAAAAACACATTCTAGGACAGGAAGCTTGTATGCTTCAACATTTTAAGGTATTATGGACATTTTCATGCTTCCAACTTTGTGGGGAAAGATAAGGGACTATCTTTTCCTTTTCCAACATGGCTGTGCACTAGTGCATAAAGACTGTGATGAGTCAGTTTGGTGTGAAGGAACCTGACTGAACAGAGCTCTGACCTGAGCCCAACAGAACACCTTTGTGATGTTTTATAGTGGGAACCATGAGCCAGGATCTCTCATCCAACATAAGAATGCACCCATTAACGATATCTGAAAGCCTTTCCAAAACCGCTGAAGCAGCTGTAAATCTAAAGCATGAGCCAACATCATTTTAAATCCTATGGTTTAAAATTGGTGTGTCATTCTAGTGATTATGTGTGTGAAGGTAGAAACATATAGTTTGTTAAAAAATAAACTAAGTAATGACCTTTAGTATTAGTGAGTGCTTACTCATCAGTACATCCCAGCCTATTGTTCAACCATTTAATCTTTTAAAACAAAGATTAAGATGCAATCTGTGATATAAATCTGACCTAAGAGCGTTAAATAGGAATTAACTATATTTAAACCTGCATTGTTTCCAAAGCAACATTTCAACATGACATTTTTTTTCTTATAACGTCTGCGTGGTTGGCATTTGTGGATTTCTGAAACCTAAATCTACCTAAACCAAAACTCCCAATTCCCATGTAAGAAATACTTTTTAGAATATCTTTTTTTCTTACTGACTATTTATAAATGATACTTTGAAAGAAAATATGTTTTACATTTTGACGCAGTTGTGGAAGAAATCACCACAAGGTGCTTCAATGTGGATCGGGAAATATGGTTGTTTTAAACAAAAAAGTTTAAACAAGCCTGGACCAGGGCTGAGAGGATGTGAGCTTTTGAAATATTTGAAATGCCTTTAACAGTGAAGCTTCTATGGGAAAACACAGAGTAGGAACTGCTGGTATGCAATGGCATCAATCTTAGAGCAAAACTCTTATCTGGCCAAGTGACTGACAGGATAAAAACTTGCCAACATTCCTCTGTGAATTCAAAAGACAGCTGACATGTTTTGACTTTGCCTTTTGCTCTTTTTCCCAAAACTGGTATGATGGAGGAAGATGGGGTGTTAAAACTTGGCTGAGAGGGAAGAGATTCCTTTGTACAGACAAAAAACTTTTTTTTTATTTGAACAATGTTTTTGATTTATTTCTTTCTCTCAGTTTTCTGGAATTACTTGCTCTAAATCATTATAAATGGAATGGGGTGTTGACATGGCATGAAAATAATCTTGATCGCGTTCTTTGTTGGTGTTAAGCCTTAATTCTCAAAGCATCGTGACACCTTCCATCAATCATGAAAACCTTAGCACTTGTATAGAGCCTAAAATGCTCATATCACTCAATTTCTTTGCCATCTGCTGCACAGGTAAGCTGCAGCTGTTAACATGCCAGCTTGTTTGTTTCAGGAGCCAAATTTTTGGTTCAGGGGCCATTCTGACGTTCATGTCACTCTTTGGCAAATCAAACAGATTTTTAGATCTGACAAAAATAACATTATTAAATGACCAAAGCTCTTATTAATAGTTAACACAGTAAAAAATTGTGAATAACATTATTTCCAAACCATTCAGAGGAATTGCTTCTGTGCTTCTGACAATGTAATTAGGGTACTTGAGCTAAAGGTCATGAACTGCTACCCAATTTTTTTCTTCAGCACCTGCTGGTGGAGAGCAGAATTCTACTTCCATTTTTAATCTTGACAAGTCAATACATAAGTCAACACCATCTCACTGGTCAAAAGGGCACAAAAGTGCTTGTACTTGATGAGGACAGCTCACCTGCCCCCACCCTCATCAGGACCTTCTACAGAAGCACCATAGAGAGCGTTCTGATCAGCTGTCTCACTGTGTGGTGTGGAGGCTGCAGCGCATCAGACTGGAAGAAAGTGAGAAGAGTGGTGAGAATGGCAGAGAAGACCATCGGGGCTCCGCTTCTCTCCATAAAAGACATATCATCCCACTGTTGCGTGTCACAAGCCCGTAACATCATCTACGACCCCTCACACCCCCAATATGGACTGCATTCGATGCAGGACCAGCAGATTTCATAACAGCTCCTTCCCCATTGCCATCAGACTGCTGTTGAAAAAAAAAAACAACAACTCTAAATAAAGTCACTGACTCACTGCATCACACCAAACCAAAATACTGCATACTTGCACCATATTTTTGTCTTGAAATGCTCTGAACTTCCTTATCAATACGCTTTTGCCCTAATTTTTTTTTCTCCCACACTGTTTACAATTGATCACTGCTGCACTTTATTGAAGGAAAATTTTAATTCATTGCTAAGCTGCTGCTTGTTCACTGTCTGAAAGCTGTACAAAAGGGAATTTGTTTTGTATACACTCTGTGTATAAAAAATTGCAATAAAAGTTGTTTGAGTCTAAGTCATCCAGTAATTGAAGGAGCAAAGCAGCCAAAGACAATCACACACTGCCACATGTGTTGGTCTGTTGGTGTAATCTTCTCTGAAAAGTGGCAGAAGTAATACATCAGACATTCCTTGTGTTTTCTTATCTCTTAAGCTATCCAGTTTTCCTATTGTTAAACATGAGAGTTTAACCAGTGAAGCCAGCTCGTAGATTAGTTATGTTTACATTCTTGGAGTCATTTTGGTAGGCTTCTGTCTCTTTCTCACTATTCCATGTTTTAGTATCTCATCGTCTTTTAAAAATTCTTTAGATCAGGAGGATTGTGTGTTGCATTTTGATGCATCTCTATTATTCTACATAAGAATAAAGACATTTAGGGGGAAAAATTAATGAGTCAATATCACTATGAAG